AATTGACTGTTCCTTGCCCCAGACAGTGAATGTTTTCCAAATGTGATAGATATTCTTGGTCGTAAACTTGACCACATTTGGAATGAGCTAAAACTGAAGTGGCTGGGTACACCTGTGAGAGATTTTCTTTAATTAAATCATTGCCAGTGGGAAGACCTACCTTCAATCTGACTCACACCTTCTATTGGCAGCCTACATAAAGGACATGGAAGAAGGAAGCCCTTGGTCTTTGCCTGCTTGCCCTTGCTCTCACTACCAAGTTTATTCCTTCACTGACACAAGAGCCTACTTCAGGATTCCAGCATATACCGAATATCAGAGGAGAAATCCAGCCTCATGGACTGAACAACTACCGGATTCTCAGACTTTCCATTGGTAGATACCCACTGTTGGACTAGTTGGATCACAGCCTGTACACCACTCTAATAAATTCCCTTTATGTACATATATAGATTCATCCCATCAGTTTTGTTTCTCTAGCAAACTCTAATATACTGTGATTAGAGTATTTCTAGGGTGACCTAGCTTGGTATTACCCTTGTGCCAATGGGACCACTTAGTCGATAAGAAGGTATTGCTGTAGTTCTGACAGGTCATGTAGACTGAAAACTTAAGGATGTGCTGTCCAAGGCTTTCCACAGTCTGTGAAAACTCCATTGGTAAGAAGGACTTGTCATAGCCCTTCCCTATAGGTACAAATATTAAATGCCACCAGGGATAACACAGTCTAACCATAGTCAACCGTCGGATGAATTCTAATTGGTCTTAATAAATAAAACCCAGACTCAAATTTGTGTAGCCCAGGGTGGCCTTGAACTAACAGAGATCTCTCTGTCTCTGTCTTCCAAATCCTGGGACTAAAGGTATGTGCTACCACTGCCTGGCCTCTAATGGCTTAGCTGTGTACTCTGATCTTCAGGCAAGCTTGATTTGTTAACACACACACACACACACCCACACACCCACACACCCACACAAATATCACTACAGTCAACATTACCTTAAACTATTCAGAAAAAAATGCCTATTAGGGGTTGGGAATGTAGTTCTGTGTTGATTTAGTATGTACAAAACCCCAACTTCTATCCCCAACATTGCATAAAACCAGGTACAGAAGCATACAAGTAGAGGAAGGAGAACCAGAAAGAATTTCAAGGTCTTTTTCTAACCAAATATTCACACAAAACACAACAACAAACAACAAAACAAAACAGAGGCAGGTAAAGGCAATATTCTAGCCTGTAGCATAGGCATCCTTCCTGGATTGACACATTCTCTTCTGAAGAGAAGAGTCATGAGACTCAGGAAAGACCACTAAAGTTCCACTCAGGAACCTCAATGTAAAGCACTAAAAGCTGTAATTCAGAAGGTAGTAACTCAGATAGAACAACATACAAGTGGGTAGGGTGCTATAAGGATACAACTTTTGTCAGTCAAAACACATGGGGTAAACTTTTTGATAATATTTTTCTCTTTGAGTCAACTCCTGTACACAGTTCCAACACAACCATTGGTTCACTAAGCTAGAATTATTTCTTTGTTCTGCTATCAGTGAGAAAAGACATGTATTGGCCTCTCCTTAGTATAATATCCTGTAGCTACACCTTCCACACACAGGAACATCTCATTCCCATTATACCTCCCAATACTATAATTTACCTCTCATTTTATTTTATTGATTTTAAGTGTTATTATATTATTTGCCCTACACATTTAGACAAGTGCTCTCTCTACCACTAGTCTAGTCCCACCTCTAATTTTTAGATTTTCTTTTTGTCAAGACAGGGTTTCACTATGTAGCTCTGGCTGTGCTGGAACTCACCAATATTTTCCTGCCTCTGTCTAAGTGCAGGGATTAGAGCTGTGTGCCACTATGCCCAGCTCAGCTGTAATTTTTTTAAAAAATTCAACTGAAAAAATGTTTTTTCTTTATAATCTTCTCCCACTTTATTTCCCTTTTTACTTCATTTTTTTCTTCTTCTTCTTTCCCTTTACCTCCTTTCATCATCCTTTTGAAACTTTATCTATATTGACTGATTAAAATGCCAGGAATAGGATTCAGGGCCTTGTATAACCTAGACAAGTCATCTACCACTGACTATTCGTTCATTTCTTCCTTTATAAAAAGTTAGTCATATATTCATTATAACATCTAGATTATTCTATATTAATTTTACACCCTTTTCTTTTATATGATGCTGGTTTTTACTATGTTTCTTTATTTAATTTGCTTATGTTTTCACTTATTCATTTCTCAGTTTTTCTTTATTTCTAACTTGTTCTGTTGTTCCTTATTTTCTTCTTCTGTAAGGTGATCAAACCTGGAATCTCAAGTACTCTGAGTGGTGTTTTGTCACTAGCTTACACATCAATCCAGCTGAGAAACTGTGCCTTGTTCTAGCCATGACCTAGCTGTACTCAAACCTCGGGATACTACAACTTAGAGAACAGGGGAGGTAAAAGCCCCCAGCTGACTAATTGGATCCAACCAAGCAAAACTGATGATTGATATCCTGTTCCTGTATATTCACTCCTATAACAACTGCAGGGAAAAACAGCACCAGTGTTGTGGATCCCCTACTTATGAGGATCCTTTATCTTTCAGACTCTCTCAGCCCTTTAAAAGAGTGGCTTTTATGAATATGAATGAATGCCAAAAATATACAAATAAATAGCTGAATGAATTTAAAAATACAGGAGATGAGTGAGACACTCAATAAAGAGACAGAGATTTTGAATAAGATCAAGCAGAAATCTTGGAAGCAAAAAAATTAACAGACGAGATTAACACACACACACACACATACACACACACACACACACACACACATACACACACACACACTTCAGAGCCTCCCTCATCAACAGACTAGATGAAACAGAAGAAAAAGCATCAGGCCAGGCTTAAAGTCAAGGCTGATTAGTTATAACCTTTAGACAGTTAATACAAAAGTAGGAATGAACAGAACATAGCAGATCTCAGAGATTCATCAAAAGGCAAACGAGACAAGGAAGAATACATACAATCATAAAATGTATGAAAGAAGCAAATAAATGAGAAATAAGGGGGGAACCAAACATTGTCAACACAGTAAGTCATAAACCATTCATTTCAACAATAATTATGCAAACAGTTTTAATTCTCCAAGTAAAAGATGCAGGGTGACTACACGTAAACAAAGATTCAACAATGTGCTGCATTCAGAAAGCTTGCCTCACCAGTAAAAGCTGGAAGTGAAACGATGATAAATAATATTTTAGGCAAGTAGAACCCTTGAGCCAGAAGGTTTAGTTACAAACATATCTACTAGGGCAGACTTTAAGCCAAAATTAAAAGAAGGAAAAAGAAGGTACCACATATGCATAAAGGTAATACTCATCAGAGGATATAATGATTATAGAGATTATATATTATACATACATTGAACTTGCAACACCCAATTTCATAAAACTTTGCTGGACATAAAGTGAGAAACAGACCAAATCAACAACAGTGGAAGTCTTTACTCTCATCAGTGACCATTCAGACAAAAACAGAACAAAGGGCTGGAGAAGTGGTTAAGATCACAGACTACTCTTCCAGAGGACCCGAGTTCAAGTCTTACCACCTACATGGCAGCTCACAACTGTTTGTACCTCCAGTTCTAGGGGATCTGACACCCACGACAAAACACCAATGCAGATAAAATAAAAGGAAATCTTAACAATTTTTAAAAACTGAATTTGTTGCACCTTATCAGATTATAATGGAACTAGGTTATAAAAAAATCAATAGCAAGAGAAATACATACAGATATCACGCAAAACACATAGAGCCTGACCAATAATATACTTTGAATAAAACTAGGGCATTGAAAAAATGGAGGGGATTCCTATAATTAAATTAAAATTGAAACAATATATAAGAATGTGTGAGAAGTAGCAAATGTATAAAAACAGAATATTCTCAAACAAATAACCTAGTGATGTGTCTCAAGTAGACTAAATTAAAATCAGTAAAGAAAATTTAAAAAAAAAAGATCAGGGCTGAACTCAATGAAACAGACACGAAAATAATAGAAAGGATCAATGAAACAAAGGTGGCTTATGGAAAAAACTAGCAAACTTGGGCAAACTAACCAAAGGAAAAGGAGAAGACCCAAATCTGTAAAGTTAGGGAGAAACAGCAATCCTAACAGGTATCACTTAAATCCAGAGGGTCACTAAGAAATATTCTACACAGTTATATTCCAATAAAATAGGAGGTTCAGAATAACTAAGACAATTTCCAGACACATATGACCTTCTAACATTTAAAGCAAGAAGGTGTAGCCCACTTAAACAGATAAGTAGAATCCAATGACACTGAGTAATAATGAGATCTTCTAACAGAATAAGTCAAGCTGGATGAATGTGCTGCTGAGTTTTCTGGACCTTTGAAGACAAACTAATGCTAGTGCTCCCAAAATGACTCTACAGAATAGAAAAGTGAAGGACAGGTTCTGAACTTATCCTACAAAGATAAAATCCCCTCATAGGACTAAAGACAATTGGTGGGAATTGGTTTTTTCCTTCTATCATGTAGGTTCCAAAGATTGAACCTGGATCATCAGACTTGGTAGCAAGTGCCTATATCCTCTGAGTTCTCTTGCTGGCCATTATTCTAACCCTTTATCTTTGCAATGGTTAACAAGTTCACTCTATAATAGTTCTCTGAACTGTGTAATCACAGTGAATGTACTTTATGTTTCTTATTCAGTTAAAACAAGTGTAAACATTTATTTACACACAGAGAAATGGTGTTAGTCTGCAATCTCAGAATGTGGGAGGTAGAGGTAAAGGGATAATAGATTTTGGGCTAGCCTTGGCTACACAGGTGGACCAACTTTTACAATAGCAGCAAACACACAAACCAACTATCAAACATCTGCAGGGTGGGGCTACAGCTCATGGTTGTGCTTCCTGGTTTCTGGATTTGATGCCCATCAGCTCTTCAAATCAATTTTAAAAAGTTTAATTACCTGCTTTTTCTGTGTTCTACTCCTGTTTTCCAGCCAATCATCCATTTGCTCCTCTATTTCTTCAATAGAAGTTCCATGATCGTAAGACTGAATATATGCATTTTCTAAAGGCATATATACAGGAAATTCTGGTTTCAGTTTTTTAACTTTAACTTTCTTCTGTTCTAAAAAGAATATTTAAAAGAACCAGTTATTGAGATTTGCTCGGAATAACAAGAAATTAAAAACATTCTAACACTATATTCATGGAATAGATCTTTGAAGAACACATTATTTTATCAAGACAGAATTGCTTGTTGTAAATAGCTACAAGCTCTATTGAGCATTGATCATTAAATTATTTAATAATAAACTCAGATGCTGTCAATGTGATTGTGACATGATCACACTATCTGCATAGACTTTTAGTCTTCAAAGTACCGTTCATTAAAACATTTTGTTTGGGACAATGGAAAGAGCTTTAATTTAGTGTCTTAATTTTTTTTAATGATTAACTTTTATTTATGTGTATATGTATGTGTCTATGTGAATGTGTGCCACATATATGCAGGTGCTCACAGAGGCCAGAAGAGGGTGTCAGATGCCCTGGATCTGGAGTAACAGGCAGCTGGTCAGCCAGTTGGTGACTCGTCCAACCTGGACGCTGGTAATGGAAGCTTGGGTCCTCTGGAAGAGCAGGAAACATTCTTTCGTTGTTTTTGTTGTTATTTTGTTTTATTTTTTTGAGACAGGGTTTCTCTGTGTAGCCGGGGCTGTCCTAGAACTCACAATGTAGATCAGGCTGGCCTCAAGCTCAGAGATCCACCTGCCTCTACCTTTCGAGTGCTGGGATTAAAGGTGTGTGGTATCAGAGTACTCTTAGCCAGTGAACCACTTCTATTACCCTCAATTTCTTAATAATAATATCCTTATTTCACATTAGTTAATTATAACATTAATGATACACATTTATATTTTCAATATTTTAGAAAGAAAATCTGATCTGGGAACATCAGCCAAATGTTGCATAAAAATATTTGCAAGGCTATTAATTCATGGTGACACATACCTTGAAAACCATTGTTTAGGAGGCAGAGGCAGGCAGCTCTCTATACATTCAAAGCCAGTCTGGTTTATACAGTGAATTCAACCATAGCTACAAACAAACCTGTTTTCAAAAGAGAAAATGGAAAAAAAAAAAAAGCTGGGCAGTGGTGGTGCATGCTTTTAATCTCAGCACTCGGGAGACAGAGGCAGGTGAGTCTCTAAGAGTTCAAGGCCAGCTTGGTCTACAGAGGTAGTTCCAGGACAGGCTCCAAAGCTATAGAGAAACTCTGTCTCAGAAAAAAAAAAAAAAAAAAGGTATTTCCAACAAAGCAAATACTATGGTGGTTGCAGAGATCAACAAGCAACAGCAACATTGTAGTGACCTCAGTTTCTCAGTTTGTGTCAGCACACCCCATGATGCTCCTATAATGATGAAACTGCCTCGTCTATCTTCAGACAACAGATGGTATTCTTCATTCCCCTTAGTGATAACACTGAGAAGCTGCTTCTCTTTCCTCTGAAAACTCCCCTGGCCTCACAACCACATTTTTATCGTCTGATATTTTCGTGTGCATGTGAGTATCATAGAAAAAAAAAAAACAATCCATAAACCTTTCAGTTCAGAGGGAAAACGGTTTAACAATGGATGCCAAGAAAACTAAATACTCATATGAAATAAAACCAGCACAATCTTACAATGATATATAAAAATAAATTCCATCTGGAAAAGAAAATAGATCTTTTAAAATGGAATTCCAAAAATCTTACAAAGATTAACTTAAAAATCATGTGTGTGCTATATCAAGTAAGAGGAAATCTTAACTTATATCACAAACTCAAATACCATAATAAAGACAAGGACAGCATTAACAACAAGAGACAACAAATCTGGAAAGAGTATCTGCAACTCAGAGGGCAAACAAAATTAATAAAGAAATTATAGAAAGTGATTACTTTTATAAATAAGAAGATGGATAATCCAAGAGAAAAAGTTAGTAAAGGTCATGACTAGGCAATCCAAGTGAATAAATCCACAAGGCCACAAAACAAGAGACCTATACTCAGGGACACCAGATCTCCCTGGGAAAGGGAGATAGCAGAGATTTCATGAGTAGACTGAGGGCAGGTGGGGATGGGAATATGAGTGATGAGGTTGGGGGAGCAGGCAGAGGGGGAAAATACTGAGACTACTGGGTAGAGGGGCAGCAATTCAGGGTCAGGTAAAAACCTGGCACAAGAGACTCTCCCAGGAATCTAAAAGGAAGACTTAGACTCCTAGCAGTAGCAGATGCATAGCCTGAACTGGCCATCTCCTGTGTCCAGATTGGTGCCTAGCCCAATTGTCATCTGAAAGGCGAATTATCCAGCAGCTGATGGAAACAGATGCAGGCCTACAACCAAACATTAGGCAGAGTTGGGTTGTAGGAGCCATAGGGGTTGAGGACACCACAAGAAAACTCACAGAATCAACTAACCTGGGATGGTCACAGCTCACAGAGGCTGAATCAACAACAGGAAGCATGTATGGAACTGACTTAGGACCTCTGCATATTATGTTACAGCTGTGTAGGTTGGTCCTCTCTTGGGGACTCCTAACAGTGGGAACAGGGGCTGTCTTCAACTCTGTTTTGCTTTTTTCGAGACAAGGTTTCTCTGTAGCTTTGGTGCCTGTCCTGGAACTCACTCTGCAGACCAGGCTGGCCTTGAACTCAGAGATCCTCCTGCCTCTACCTCTTGAGTGCTATGACTAAAGGTGTGTGCCAATTGGCTTTCTATGACTCTTTTACAGGCTTTTGGGACCCTACTTCTCACACAGGTCGCCCTGCCCAGCCTTGATACATGGGGAGATCCTTAGTCTTCCTGCAACTTGATATGCCATGTTTTGTTTGTACTCATGGGACCTGGCCTTTCCTAACAGAAACAGAGTAGACTGGGGGATGGTAACAGAAAGGTGTAGGGAAATGGGAGGGGAGGAAAGAGGGAAAACCATGCCAGCATGTAAAATTAATAAATTTATTTTTTATTTAGGGGCTGGAGAGATGGCTCAGCGTTTAAGAGCACTGCTACTCTTCCAAAGGTCCTGAGTTCAATTCCCAGCAACCACATGGTGGCTCACAACCATCTGTAATGAGATCTGGTGGCTTCTTCTGACCTGCATGCATACATGCAGACAGAATACTGAGAATACTGTATACATAATAAGTAAATAAATCTTTAAAAAAATAAAAAAATAAATTTCCTTTTTAAAAATGGGGAAAAAAAACTATACTCTCAAACTAAAGAAATGAAAATTCAAGTAATACTATGTATGATTTAAAACTTATCATGAGGGTACAAACTAAAAGAAATCTAGTAGCATATACTTCTGGCAAAGGGGAGGCTCTTTCTAGAAATGTGAATTATTCTGTTATAATCTTGTGGGATAGTAGTCTAAGAAGATCTATTAAGATTAAATATATAAATCTTTTCTGGGCATAAAAATTTTGAATGTAATTGCATGCACGTATACACATATGTATGTGCTTTTGTGTGTATGTGTGAGACCATTTTCTGTTTATAGAGATACTAGTTAACAGTAAATGCCTTGTAAAAGACACAGCTACATAATTACTGATATATTTATCTACATGAAGAAATACTAGATCAAATTGAAGCAGAGCTATAGTAATAATTTTACGGGTATGTCAGTGAATTTAAGTAGCAAAAGAAAAATCAGAAAAGCATACGGTTCCATATTTTAAAGCAAAATCATGCTTCTACATATTGTTACATTTATTCATGTTTTTACATACATACCTGATTATTCTATAAGGTTGGATATTCTATAAAACAGATGGCAATATGAAGGCATGTAGGGACTGAGATGAGGGAGAGGGATGAAGTGAGCACCAATACGGAGAAGCAACACCACAGTGAAAACAAGTCTACGCATGGGCAGGTAGGTTCACATGTCTTACGGGAAAACTATAGACATAATGTACAAAGCTGTACAACATAAATCTATTTGTAAACTCAGGCTCCTAAAACTAATAAACAAAAGCTTAGTAATATTTACTTAATTCTGTGCTTTTAAAATAATTTATGAGTTTGCACCATTCAATATTTTGCATTTGGCAAAATTTTGTAAATGAAAAGGCAAGTATTTTCAAAACTAAATGTCCAGAAAACATGCCTAAGTGGCCCAAAGATTTCTATTTGTCAAGTATTCTCAGTATCCCTCCAATGATTGTGATTCAATAAAATCTACATAGTACTGGTACAAGCACAAGAATGTTGGAGGTAGTAACATCAATTATACTTTACACAAGAGAAAAAAATCTAAGATTTTTCTTTTTAGCAGAATTGTGAGGCTTAAGAAAACTTATGAGCTAATATAAAAACACAGTATCTGGATGCTGCTTGTGTGAATCTTACTTAAGTTTTTATTAAATTTTGATTGTAAGGATACAGAGATGTCTCAGCAGTTAAGAGCAACTACTCTTCTAAAGGACCTAAGTCTGAATCGTGTGGTGGTTCACAATGCCTGTAACTACTGCTCCAGGGGCAGTCTAACACCTCTGGTCTCTATGCACCTGCATTCACATACACATCTACACACTATTCAAAATAATAAAATATTTAAGAATTATCTCAAGATTTGTAGACTACCAAAAGAGAAACATGGATATCAACCCAGCCACAAAACTTTTGACCTACAATCTGTACTATCTGCAAAATATGCTAAGACAATGGTGGTACAAAACTTGTAGGAATAGCCAACCATTGTCTGATTTGATTTAAGGCTCACTCTACTAGAAGGAACATATACCAGATAGTGTTTGGGTAACCATGAACCAGAGACTAGATAGCCCCAAGATACAAGGTAAAACCAAACACAACTGATCATAAAACAATAACCACAATAGCAAAAACACAAACACAAAAAAAATAATTCTAATAATATCTGTTACTATCAGAGAGGTTTCCTCTGGCAACAAATGAGAACAAATACAGAGACACACAGCCAGACATTGTGAGGAGATAATCTAAATGAGAGTTCCCCATCAAATTCTTCCCCTCAGAGCTCATAGAATCTCAAGGAAGATGAAGCAGAAAGACTGAAGAGGCAGAGGGAATGAAGGACACCAGGAGAACAAGGCCCTCTGAATCATGTAAGCTCCCAGAAACTGGAGCAGCAAGCACAGGGCACACATGGGTCTGCACTAGATCCTCTGTGTATATATTATAGCTATTAGCTTACTATTTTATGAAACTTCTAACAATGAGAAAGAGTGGGCCTCTGACTCTTGTGCCTACTCTTGGTACTCTTTTCTTCCTGTTTGGTTGCCATATCCAACTTTGATATGCAAGCTTTCGGTTTATTTTATTAAATTTTATTTTGTCATGTTTGGTTGTTATTTCTTAGAAGTATGTTCTTTTCTAAACTGTACAATGCAGAAAACAATTAATGAAGTTGACAAAATTAAGGAATCCTTGCAGCTGGGTATGGTGGTGCACACCTTTAATCCCAGCACTCGGAAGCAAAGGCAGGTGGATCTCTGCGAGTTTGAGGTAGGTCTGGTCTACAGAGCGAGTTCCAGGACAGTCAAGGCTTGAGTACCAAGAGTAAGCACTTAAGACTTATTGTATTTTCTTACAGATTCATTTACCTTCTGACTCACTTAAAAGGTTTAAAAATGCTAACTTTATTTAAAAGTAATAATTTTATGAAAATTACATTTAGAGTTTCATTTGCCTACTTTTACTGTCCAACACACACAGTTAGCAATCTTTATACACAATCCTCTATCATCTCGATTCTTCTTACAGGCATCTACTTTAAATAATTATACAGTTTTTGATGTGGGATTCCCCTCTGTAGGTTGTGAATACTATTGGTTAATAAAGAAACTACTTTGGGCCTATAGAAGAGCCATAGAAAAACAGAGCTAAGTGGAGAAAACTAAGCTGAATGCTGGGAGAAAGGAGGCAGAGTAATAGAGAAGCCATATGGCTCCACTGGAGCCAGATGGAAGTTTACCTGGTAAGCCACTGCCATGCAGCGATACACAAATGAATGGAGATTGGTTAAATTAATATGTAAGAGTTAGCCAATAAGAAGCTAGAGCTAATGGGCCAAGCAGTGATTTAAATAATATAGTTTCTGTATGTTTATTTCGGGGTTGAGCAGCTGAAAATCAACAAATAGCCTCCTTTCAATAAGTTTTAAGTATCATTTTGCAGTTAGAAGTTTTTGAACTGAATTACATGCTTCTTGAGACAGGGTACTGTACAGAGATGCTCAGCTGGCATTCACTACTATTCATAGGGTTACATACATTCATCTACTCATCCACTCACCATTTACTGTGTGCCAGAACACTGCTCACTATTGTAGACACAAAGTGAAAAAGAAACTGTTCCTCTTCTAAAGCTGCCCAGACACAAGAACAGCTGCCCAGACACAAGAACAATTGTGACAGAAAAACTTCCCCTAAAAATACTATATTTTGAAAACACAATAGTGAACAAAATAAAGTCCTAACATTTGTAGAGTTTATATCTACTGGGGGAAACTAGATATAAACAGAACTAATAAATTCTGCTGAGTGGAAATAACTGCTGTGAATAAAATAACCAGCATGTGCAAACCATGGACACGTGGGAAAGACGGACACAAAACTAAGTCAAGAAATGCTTTTGTGTTCCATGGAACAGTCCTATATTTTCTGTTTTCTTTTTTTAAAATTTGAAAACACATTTTTTTAATTTTATGCAGATAGGTACTTTCCTTGTGTATATAGCTGTGCACCACTCGTGTGCATGGTCCCTGTGGATGCTAGACCAGGGTGTCAAATTCAGACTCCCTGGAATGGGTGTTACAGATGACTCTGAGCTGCCATGTGGTGCTGGGAATAGAACCTAGGTGCTCTGTCAGATAAGCCAGTGGCCATAACCTGAGCCATCTCTCCAGTCCTGTTTCTATTTCTTTGAGGTAAGATCTTGCTGTAGAGCTCTGGCTGGCCTGGTACTCAATATGTAGTCCATTGTCTTCAAGGAGTTTGCCTTCTGTCTCAACTTTCCACTGGGGTTACAGGTGGGAGTTCCCATGCCAGACTTCTTTTCAATATTCTCATCATTTATTTGAGGAGGTTTGTATTACACAACAATATTACAAAAGAAGCAAAGCTTTTCAAAACAAAAACAATTTTTCCAAGTTTATCCACTGCTATAGTACAATGTTAACATATAAGTTATTAACATATTAACATAACAATAAAATATTAACATATTGGTTATTCATAGCATTAAATATTAATGATAATTTTAGTACTGTAAATAATTGGCTTTTGCAGATTTGAATGGTCTCAACTTGAGTTGTAGACCCCAGGTTGATGCACCTCTCCTGATATTGGATTTTGTGTGGTTCAATAGCATTATTTTTCATGTGTAATATAGTAAACACAAGTGACTCCATTTGAAAATACAGAAAATTCAACGAGTGTTAAATTTTAAGGAAAATTTGAATTTTGATTAGTTTTATATGAAATTGTTAATAAAGTAAACAATATTTAAAACTTACTCTGAAGTGTTTCAATGTGAATTCTAGCCAATGCATCTTCTTTTTCCTTCAATTTTGTCTCCTTGTATTTTGCATAAAACTGGCCAGCATCCTTAAAAAAGAAGTTACAAGTAAATTAATATAAAAATAATTTTGTTTTGACAGTATGCTCTCTGTAACTTTTTTTTTTTAGAACAATGCACTCATTCTCCATGAAAGCTTTCCTTCTGTTTTCTATTGACATGATGAACAGAAGAAACTGAACAAACACTTCTCTGTAATGTTTCTTGCCTGGAGAACTAAGTTCAAAATGTGCATGGGTGTAATTTTAAGTAAATTTTTCACACATGAAAAGGAGGATTTCCCTTCCAATTCTCTTCCACTGTTTGCTGTCTCCCCAACACCTTACTATTCTACAGGCAGCAGAAAAGTGCACTGACTGAACCAAGCATCTGCTGTAGAATTACTGTGACCAACTAGCACTAATACTTTGTTAGTAACAGTAAGTAATAACACAGTAATTTTTGTGTTACTACTTTAGCTCCAGATCTTCAACACTACTGAGGATGAGGCAATTCAGCTCTGAATAAAAACTGTTACTTTTTTTTTCTATGACTCTCAGAGAAGACTGTACCAGTTGCCATAAAAAATTGAAGATACAAACTACACAGAAACTCAGGTGTACGCATCCAGTGATTAAAGTCTCGATCAGTGGCAAATAGCCAAGTTCTCAGCAAGGTTCTTATATAAAAGGCTAGGTGTCACTTACTGACAGAGAGGAACATAAACTTGTTGATTCTCTAGGCATATGACATTCCTAACAATGAAAATCAACAAAGTAGATCATTCCACACTCCTTGATGTAAGACTCATACATTTCAGAAATACCAGGCCACGTTGTGTTTCCATACTTCTGTATTTACTTTACCCTCAGGTTGAACTATTTTGATCCTTGCCATTATTTTAACAAATGTCTTTTCATATTAGGAAAACCATGTTCAAACACCACTGCCTTCACCTTCTCTAGCAGAACAAGTCTCTGTACTTAACAACTCACATGCTTGTATCATGTTATATACAGTATCACCTAGAAGATGGGACATTTGAGACAAAACAAAGATCTGGCACTCTGTGTTTACTGAACTGAGTCAAATTGGAATACATGTGAAATCTTATAAAGAAGGAAATGAAAAGGCATGATTTGAGTGATGAAGAGTATGGAAAGATGTAGGTATCAAGGATAAGTTTAAGGTGATATCACTATATTGTATGATTCCTAGAGAAGATAAATCACAGATCTATGTGATTATGCCTATATGAAATGAAGGAACATTACTACCTAGATCAAATATAGATACATGAATAACCCACCTTATTTCATTCATGATTGGAAGCAAATCAAAGGTATTTCATGGGGTCTGTTTCTTGGGATTATAATGATCTCTTCCACCAGATAATGAATTGGGAAAATTATACAGAGACTTCCTAAAACATTTGAATACATAGTGAAAATATTTCTTTTTAGCCTCTCAGTTCAACTTTTGTGTTCTTAATTTCTAGTACAAGCATTCTTAAAAGCCATGGGTCAGATATACAAATGTGTAGTAAAAACAGTACAGATGGTGATTCATCCAACTTACTCATCCTCTCATACCAATATATATATATATATATATATATATATATATATAAATTATACCTACATCTCCTCAAGGTCTGGGTTAAGGTTTTATGGCCCGTTAACATTTTCCACCCCGCTCCCCTAAAAGACTCAATCCTAAAGGAGTATTACTTTGTAACAAGTCATATCAGTCATTTATACCTTGGTGTGAATGAATGAATGAGTTTATTAGCTTCTTTCCACAGAGTAGGTTTTAAGAGTAGGGAAGAAGAAAAGCCCAGGAAGGCATTGGCTCCTTGAGGGGAGTAGGAAATGTGTCACCATGCAAAAAAAAGAAGGGCACAGATTAGTTATTTATGAGGTGAAAGAGTATAGATTGAAATATATCATCATAGTATATTGTACAATGAGATATAGTGTTTAAAAGGACAGATTTGATTTTTGAGATAAGATCTCACTAGATAACCCAGCAGGCATTGAACTCATGGTTCTCCTTCCTACCTTAGCTTCTCAAAGTGCTAGGTTACAGGCATAAATCAACACGGGAGAGAAGATTTTGGAATCTGCCTATCATTTTTGAAAAAGTCAGCTCTTCTATTTTACCAGCAAGGAGACATTCAGCAAACTGTTTCTCTACAGATCAGTTTTCTCATTCATAAACAAGAATAATAAGAGAGTCTAATTCAAAGGACTGTATAAAAATATAACATTTTACTATTTAAGAGACACTTAGGATGCCACCTGCACAGTTGGGTCTTCCATATATTAGCTTTTTTTTTTTTTAAAAAAAAATGGTTTCTTAATCATTTGGCATCACTGTACTTTCTACTACAAAGTAAGGATGAGTTTTTATGCTTCACACCTCACCAAATGAATCCTGTCAAACTCAGCATCGTCCTGCTTCTCTTCCTTCTCTTATCTGTACTCTCCTTGACTCAATGGAAAGACCTGTTCCTAGGCAGGAACCAATCTGTTCTGAAATAGCCACCTGCCTAAACCATACCAAGAGTTGTAAAGTATTAAATACCTAAACCTACTTTAGCTAACGAGGTTGTTTTGCATTCTCTATCTTACTACCTGCTTGTTCAAGGCAAAGAATCTCACCTTCCATTTGCTCAAGCTTTAAGCATTTATTTAGATGTTCCTGGTGTTTTTTTTTCCTTTAGCTTACTTATACTTTTAAAATTTGCTGTTTGTCTTAGACTCATATTTTTGTTTTATTCACTAAATAATTCTATTATCTTGAATTAGCACTTACAGAGAAAAAGGAGGTCGGGGTAGTGTTAAATGCAATATATCTTTTCAAACCCTTTGAATGCTTAAATCCCTTTAGAATATATGAGTCTAAGATAAACAACAGTTTGCTAACACATGAGGTTACAGTTTTTCTGTAGCTATAAACACCAAATCTATTCACCTAGCCTTTGTACACTGCCCATGACAATGTAGATTAATAAATCAATAAAAGAACAAATAATGCTTTACTGTCTCAAACTGACTAGTTAGGCTACTTAGTACTGTATCAATCCTCCAAACAGAGTTTGCCTTCTTAAGGAGCTTGTATTTCTAAGGGTTAGAACTTTGAACAAAAGCTTTTCCTGTAGAAACAACTTTCTTCATATTTAAACGTTCTCCAAGAGTTCAAAATCTACCTGTACAGATAACAAACAAAGGTTTGGTTTTACATTTAAGAGTGTAGCAAATCTAAAGGATTTATGTTACCAGTATTTGTACATAATTATGAATCATGGGCTCCAGAACAAGAAGTCAATGGGCTGGTGTATGTATTTAGATTTACCTGATAAGTCACTGCAATATGTGCTATGCATTTTAAAGATATGTGAAGATTGCTTATGACAAAATAACAGTTGCACTTAAGGAATATGTAGAAAAACTATATTAAATTAAATTTTAGACTACAGAATATGGATTTCATAAAAAAGGAGTATTTCTTTTCTTTGCTTAGATGGCATGCAGGTAAAAGTATGTCTTTCTGAAAGCAGCTGAAAGAAAAGATATGGAAATCTCTGGCTCTTTATATTTGCCTGGGTGAACAAAGAAGCACAAGCTAGACTCAGGAGGTTTCAGGTAAGAACTAGATGATATTGAAGGTATCATTGTTCTGAGCCTGAGTGACATGAGACCCGAACAATGCTCCATTTCCTACCAGCCAATAGACAAGTGTTTAATCTACAAAATAATTGCAATATATCAGAATTTTAGGGTAATCTGTGCCTTACCAAAATCTATCAGTCTATTGTGACAATAAGTTGAATATCTCTTATATAGAAGAATGTTTGAGACCAGAAGCATTTCAGAGTTCTTGTTTTTCCAATGACTACTGCATATTCACATATTTTGTCCAGTTTTGGACTTTTGTACATATATAATATGACCTAAATCTAAGCAGAAAATCTTCTATGTCTCACACTTACTTTATACACATAACAAGAAGGTAATTTTACAGATTATTCCTAATATGCATGAGACAAAGTCAGTGGACACTGAATCATCAATCATGATGATGCTGTCATCATGTCAGCATCCAAAAAGTTTTAGATTTTGGAGCATCTTGGATTTCAGATTTTTGGATGAGGATGCTCAAACCTACAATATAATGGTGCTAGTGAGCTGTACAGAGAACATTCAATGGGAATTTTTAGTTATCCTGACAGATTTTATTATGAAGAGAAAAATATAGTAAGATGTAATACTCTGAGGTAGGTAGGTTGTAGTATAGAAAAAGCCCATACATCAATCTTTATTTTAACATTACTGACACAGTAATAAAATAGCATTCCGAGTTGGTATTGGTTATGGTTTAGTTTACTTTTATTTCTCCCTAAATACCTCAAAATAAAAGCAATCTGATATTTTAGAAAAGATGGACACTGATTTAAAGTAGTAGGAGCAGGAAAATGTGGGAATGAGACATATGGATGAGTCCTGGAAAGAGGTAGGTGGAAAAAAGACGAAGGATGTCCCATGTAATTCGGATTGCTTGGTAGCACCAATCTCTTGATTGCAGCTTACAAATAACCTTCCAATAGGAAAATAAGCACAGTCTGAAAACCTGCCTACGAAGTCTAGGTTCTACTACATTTTATTGTTCCATTCACATAATGATACATTCTTAGACTTACAAACAATGTGTAATAAGATAGCTGGACCGGGAATGAATGAGCATGCGATCAAATTGAACTCTCTGAATGTGGCTGACAATGGGGGCTGACTGAGAAGCCATTGATAAAGGCATTGGGACTTGTTTCTAATGCAAGTACTCGCTTTTTGGGATTCTAGTCTATTTGGATGCAAAGATTCCTAGTCCTGGATGTAGGGGGGGAGGGCCTTGGACTTCCCACAGGGCAGGATTCCCTGCCCTCTCTTAAAGAGGGAGGGGGAGGGAGGGCGGTGAGTGGTGGAGCGGGAGGGGAATGGGAGGAGAGGAGGAAGTGTAAATTTTTGAATGGAAAAAAAATAGGTATCACAGT